GCAGAGACGCGCGCAAATATCTTACGGCGCTCAAATATCTTATATATATACCTTTTCCAGTATGTCAGCCACGGCGCAAATGAATTTCGGTGCTGTTGTTGGATGACACTTGATATTCAAATAAGGCTCTATAGTAATTGCGTGCTGCACCAGCAGCTGCGGACGCACCTTCGCCAATAAATGCAGTGTGGTTATGCAGCCGAGCATGCGTGTGTTGTCGGTGTCCTCCAGTTCGATCAGACGCCCCACCAAACCGTCGGCCAGCTGCTGACACGACAGCAAAATATCAGCCGGTGGCTCGGTTTTCTTTTGCAATGTGTCTTTCATGCTGTCATCACCTTTGGTTGCGCTCTCCTTCGGCTGGAAAATGCTGTTCAAGAGTCCCTCCAACCACGCGGTGCCCGTGTCATGTGCAATATTCACAACATCGATTATCTGATTGATTTTCAAATGTATGCCGTCCTTGTCGTTTTTATGCAACGGCGTAAACCACATTTTCATGAAGACCTCCGTCACCAGCTTTTGTATGCCCTCCTCATCGTTGACGCGTCGTATCATTTTGACGCAAATTTCTGGAATTTTCTGAAACGTCGGATACTCTATGCATATGTCGCGTAGAATTTTTATGACACGCTTACGCACCGATACGCCCGTATCTAAAATTCTTGTTGACAGCATATCATAATACTGATCAATTAGCTCTTCGTTGCTCAGTACGAATTTACCAACTAAATCGACAGCCGCCTCACGCACCGATATAGCGGCATCCAAGAATTTTTGGTTAACGCCCATTTGCATATCCTTGCGCCGTAATACCATCGGATCGACTTCAACGATATTCGCTAAACATTTCATCGCACGCGTTCTTATTGCGATCGACGGCTCATTTACAACCAATATAATTTTCTTCAAATAGCCATCGAATGATTTGCTAAATGGTCTTTTGCTAGCCAAATATTGCGCTATTAAATGTGCATTGTTGTAATCGATATATGTTTTTATATGTTGTGCATGATTGGAATCGCCCAGCGTTGAGTATGGATTTATATTGTTCAATAAGCATTGCTTGCGTTTATCAAGCATATTGAAACGTTCCATATTCAATTCTTGATCGCCCATAGTGCAATCGCCACCAACACGACTATCGACATTTTCGAAGTTCATCTCATCGCCGCTATCGTCATTGCTATCACTGCCGGAGAGATCGGCTTCTGTGCGTCTTTTGCGCGTACTCTTCTTTCGCGATGTATCACGTTTGGCGCTCTCGTTAATGTTGCGGCGCTGATAAATTATATCACGATACCACTGCGTCAAATAAAAGTGTCGCGCATAATCCCAAATGGGATTGTCCACGTGTGCATTGGCGGCCAGAAAGTCCAATAGTATTTTCTGCAGAAATTCAACTCGTTCATCCTCTTTTAATTCGATCTTATTATTGCTGGATGGCAAGTCTCCTTCTTTCTCCTGTTCCACTTTAATATACCTGATCATTGAGTCAATGACGTTCACTTTGTAGCGCGAGTCAACGGCATCCTTGCGTAAGCGTGCTGCCACAATGCCCAAGTAATCCAATGAAACCAAACGTATGCTCTGTTCTATAGACTTGTCCGACACATAACGTACAAGCATCGTGCCTAACAGTGAAAGCAATAATTCGGATGATGGCCATTCCGGTTTGTTTACAGTGGCCAGGAGATCGTAGATGAAATTCTCGAAGATTGGACGGAAATCGGTTTCATTCGATCGCGATTTGCACTTATTTAAAAATGTCGTTAGGAAATTGCCACCTATACTTATGGCGATTTCGTATTTTTTCAACACAATCACATCGATATTTTGTCTGTCGGTTTGTGTGGCAAAGCCGGCGGCTTGATTTGCCATATCGCCGTATTGTGGCAAAACTTTACGTTTATTCTGCGAATTGCTATTCATGACATCGGGTAAAATCGTAACGCATTGTATAAGCTGTAGCACCAATGCGGTTACCATTTGTATGTTGCCACTATTGTTGATTAGTTTGAATGGGCGTAGATTTTTCTTCGAAGACGGCAAACGATCGATAGAGGTTAGTATATCACCAAGTATACTGCTGCGTATTTTTACGTATTCCTCCTTGCGAAAGAGCGTCGTGACCAATTCCAAACAGACAAATTGCAAAGTTTCAATATTATCTACAAAGAATGGTTCGATGGACAAGGTCGATAGCGGTAGTATGATGGTATCGACGAATATATATTTGTCGAAAAGCGTAACGAACACTTTCATTAGCTCGGTGGCCTTTGAGTAAAGCAATTGCAGACTGCGATTGTAATTTTGATAGATTTTCGATTTTTTACGATTATCTGTCTTTTTCATACTTTTAACCGTATAGACGGGATCATATGATGGAAAGATTGTCTCGCGAAATTGAAAATGCATAAATTTGATAATAACCGAAATGTGATCTTCTTGCAAAAACTTAATATCCTTCGAAGTGCAATAAATATTACAAATCAAGAGACAAGCTTCGATTCCGTTTAAAATCTTTTCCATTATTTCGTCATCCACAATGTCGTCTTCATCGTCTGGACCGGCAGAATAATTTTTCGCCAAATACACATTTCGCATAGCGTAATTAACCAATAGCGCCAATTTATTTTTCGGTATAACATCCAAAACATACTTGGCTTTCAATTTGGCGATGTCGTTGCTCATTATGTTAAGCATTCTAGACGAAATACATTCAATGTTCTCGTCCACATCGTCGGTATCAAAATTTGGAACTTCTGTGTCGTCCAGCGTCTCAATAATTTGCTCCAAATTACGCATAAATTGCTGATACGTTTGTGATCGTAAAATTTCGTCTTTTGTACACTTTGATGATGGTGTTGAGACGATGCGTTCAACGCAACGTAGTTTCGGCTGTGAGTGTATCTGTTCAGGCGGTACTTCATCAACTGAAGGCGGAAGTTTCCGCTTGACAGCGAGTGGTTTTTCATTCGTCTTCATCAAGTTAAATGCGTCATCGTTTTCTGCTGCTTTGGTTGTTAATTGTTTCGTAATTCGAGCAGGTAACACCGTTAGTGGTACAGTGGGTGGTGCAGATGCAGCCGCAATTGTTGTTGTGGATTCCATCTTTTCTACTTCTACTTCTTGCTTTGTAGTCTGCAATTCAGGTGGAATTATCAAACCGAATTTTCGGGCAGACTCTGGTGATTTCTTTACAAATTTTTTTATGCTTTCTTGCATGAGAGATGCGTCTTTTTCCTTAAGTCTATTTATACATACCCTAACGTTAGCTACTTCAGACGATTTACTAACAGAATCTGCATTGGTCTTCCCGCCCTCATATCCGATTTCATTCTTTATTGGATTCAGCGCCGCACCCTGATTAGTGTTCAAGTCGCTTGTAAATGGAGCTGCTAAGGCTTGTGCGTTGAAACTATATTGAGTATATCCATTATTAACCGGCAGATGTGCGTTTAACACACCAGTTGTAATTGTGCATTTACTATCTGGCATTTGGGTAAAATTTGTATTTTGATAATTTTGTGTGCCAACTACTGGTATAACTGGAGTTAAGTTTTGTTCAGTTACAGTTGTAATATTATTAGAAATTCCTGGATTAATCGTTGCTGGCAAGGTACCGGTATTTTGGAAAGATGCTGTACTTTCGAATCCAGTATTTTGTTCTTCTACCGGAAAGGTGGGCTTTTGTTCTGTTAGATGTTGGGTTTTCTGTTTTCTCGGAGTATGCACATCGAAATTATTGCTTTGAATGGAAGTCATTTCCATTGTTGGAAAACTGCCACTATTCAAATTCTTTGATATAGCAGGATTATTTGAATCCAGGGTCGTTTGTTGTTCAATGCGTTGCAGGTCATCAGACTGTTGCGTTGAAGCTCCACTTCTTTGCCCGTGAACAACATTATACCACTGTTCCTGTTGTTGTTGATGAGTTTGTGGTTTATTTTTCTGATTCAATTTGCCATTGTTAGCATTAAACACAGTTGGGTTGTAGCTGTAAATACCCTGTAGTAGTTCTGGATACGTATTTATATTGGTACCAAATTGTTCGATTGCATACTGTGACTTTAGTTCTATTATTTCAGAGTTCGTCTGTTCGATAGCATGCACCAGCTGTTTTACTAAATTATCATCACGCACAGATAACAAATTGTTGGATTCTTTAGCAACCAATGTGTGAAATAGCAAGGATTTATTCAATGAAGTGACACTTGCCAATGTGTCTGGTACTGGAAGTTCACTAAGTAAATCTGACAAACTTGTCAAACAAGCCAAAGTTGTTACTGGAACACTGGGAATATCGGGGTCAGTCATATTATTATCTAAAACTTGCAAAAAGCCCTTAGCACAGAACACTATTTCACGTGAATATCTTTATTTATTTTAAAAATCAGTCGCAGCTTTATTCCAGTAGACTTAGATACCCCACAATTGTGTACATTCGTAAGATGCGCAGCGTTCTGCAGCGCCAAAAATTAAGTTGTCTCGTAGGGCAGCTGATTTGCGCTATAGTTAGGCGCTATTTTATAATTAAACATAACTTGAGGATATGATCATTAAATCCTAAAAAAAAAGTCACCATTTAGATAATTCACACAAAATATTGGATTTTTACCTCTTTTGCTGACACAAAATAGCTGACACAAGAAAACTGGAAATGAAATGACATTTACAATCGCGTTGCCAACCGCACGAATGGCATCACTTAAAGTTGCCAACTACAATTCAAAATTCATTTACATGATAATGCAGGGTGGCTAATGTACCGCAAATGTTAAATTCTTTATTTTTGACTTTAATCAAAATTAAAAAAATTTACATAACGATATGTAACAACCTCTTTCATTCAAACATTTTCATTATAAATTATACAAACAATCAATACTAGTATTTTTACGTTTTTATTTACCATTTCATTGCAAATTTGACAGTTTTCTACCTTGCTCTTTTATATTTGTAGTTTGTGCTTAGTCTTTTAATTAAAACATCTTTGATAACTTAATTAACGAATTTATTTTCTGTACAAATGGTAACAATAAATATTTAACTTTTTCGACCACACATGGCAGTTTACAACCTCTAATAACACAATCCCTCAAAAGGAGGGGTCAGAATGACTATCATCGGTGATATGACTAAGTTCGTCAGAGTCACACTGAGAATGAATTTCCACACTATTCCTATGTATTTTAGGGGATGAAGTAAGCAATCGCGAGCGCTTAATAATATGGACATCTGAATTTTCATTTTCCTCCATCTTCTTTTTCAAAGTGTTATTATTTTGATTATAGGTTTTGGGCGGTAGCTTGAAGTTGTGCTGTAATGAATTTCCAAACTCCTGTTTCTCTTGCGGAGGGCTATAATTTAGTTCATGATGCACTATGGCTTTTACAATCATTTTTTCGGACGCTATTTCAGGACTGTCAAAAGGTAAAGCATCAGAGTTTGGGTTATATTTCGTCGGGGTGTTGGGGCTGCTAAGAGATACTTATTTTTCATAAACTTAAGGAATTTAAAGAAATATTTCCTACCACTGTGGTAATAGTCTCAAAATATCACAATTCCTGTTATTGTCGGGTTTGATTAATGTGGATGAATGAACATCACAGTACATCTGGCCAAAGTCCAGTTCACTTTCCTAAATAAATCGAAAATTTAGAAATCATTTTGGGCTTGGAAAAATGTATTATACTTTCAGAGCACGTTCCAGATCGTTTTCAAAGAAAATTGTTTCACATTCTAATTCAGATTCCTCTAATGCTTGCATTACTTGTTTCATCTCTTCCAGTTTCATTCCCTCCTCATAAAGTCCTAAATCTTGCATGGAAAAGAATTGGCAAAGAAACGGTAAATTCTGTTATTCCTTAAATGTAGAAATTTATTATAAAATAAACATACTCATTAACTTTGACTTGTAATTCTTCTCTTCAGCATTTCTGAGCTCCATTCTAGACAAAAGTTTTAAAACGGCTTATACAAATTTTCTTACAAAGAAGGGATCGATTAACTGTTTTTAATTAATTTACTTAAAAACTAAAAGTAAACACAACAACAAATAAGATACAGTAGATTTACACATGTTGTAATATATATTGTATAAGGTGTTAAAAGTAAAACATCATTAAAGTGGTTTAAAAAAGATAAGATGTTAACTTAAAAGAATAAGTTATCATTAAAAACTTATATGTTTTTCTTTTTTTATGTATGGTTTACGAATAATAAACCATTGTTTTTATTAAAAATGCATTTATTTTCATGGTTGTACTTTGCCGTAGCTAAGATTCAAACCTACCATCACATATTCAACAATAATCGATTACATTTGTTCTGTCGATAGGTCTGCTGAATTATTGACAAATTTGGCAATTGTATACAAAAACATCTCTACTACTCCATGGTTCAATTATAATTTTCTAATATAATATATTTAATCTTTTCTATTGCTAATTAAACTTACAATCGTGTACAGAATGTGGCAGGCTCAGCAAATAGCAGCAATTCAAATGGCGAATCAAATGCTTTACGCGATGTCGGCACCATCAAGCTACTCGCTAAATCAACGGCCGCCACATTTAGGTCCGCCACCTTTTGATGATACGGCTGTAGACACAGATGATGAAGATGATGAAAAGTTACGTACGCTTTATGTTGGAAATTTAGATGATCGAGTTTCGGAAGATTTACTTTATGAGGTTTTTCTACAAGCTGGTCCGCTAGAGTCTGTACGACTACCAAAAGATAATGGCGGTCGTACGCGCGGCTTCGGTTTTGTTGTTTACTCGCATCGCTGTACCCCAATTTATGCTGTGCAATTATTTGCTGGCCTGATGCTTTTCCGCAAAACGTTAACAATTAAAGCTCAAGGTGACACAAATGCGTCAAATAAACGTCGTTCGTTTCCCAATGATTGTGAGCGCTATATGCATCGGCCGGGTGATAACAGCATGATACGCAGTACAAGCTATCCAAATTTCTATGATCCAGCTATGAATGATATTTCAACCTCACCTCAATCATCTAATCCGTTTCGGATAAATTCGCCCGATTTACCGAACAGTACACATGGTAGAAGCCGGGAAAGAGGAAATAGAGAACGAGAACGGGATAGAGATGTTGACAGGGACTGGGTTAGTAATCACTCAAATAAACATTCTCGCTCTCATCCTTACAGACGTGATGATCGCCGTGAACGCGACGAAAGTAATCGTAAACGTAGGTAACATTTGGAACAGGATTGGAAGGAGTTTTATGTCAATATACTTTATGCAAAATAAAGCTATTAAACGAAGAGTATTGCTCGTACTTTTCAACATCAAAATTTGCAATAGAAAAACATTTAAAATTCTTCTAGCAATTTTTAATGGTGACTCGGCTAAATATTAGTGTAATCGTAATTGTGTATTTTAAGGTAGTCCTTAATTTAGTTGTAAGTATGTATATGAC